CGCGGCGTCGTACAGTGCCGAAATCGGCGTCCCCTATCAGGTGGGTCGCCGAATCTGGAATTTGAGCCGTTCTGATAGCACATTGGCTCCGGTGTTTTAGGGGCCGAAAAGTCGGGATCCATGTATCGGACGGTCGGCAAAAACATTTCGCTTTTGCAGATGACGCAGGCTGACGACAGCTCAACAATGGCTGCCGAGCTCAACCAGCTTCCTCATTAGACCCAGGCTGATGTTCACGGCGCCGACACGGACAGCACCGAACGGCCAGCCAGGATCTCTACGCAACAAAGGTTTTGGCCTTGGCGCCAGCCAGGGAAAGGAGTCACCGGAAATCATCCTGGCGGCCTGCCAGGGAGCACCGTATGAGGGCCGTCGGCCCGCCAGGATTTGACTATCTTACCGGAATTTTTGAATTTTCTGCTAGGAAAACCCCTATTCTACCGGAACATTTTCAAAATTAGCCAGGATTTACCGAAAAAATCCTGGCTAGCGTCAGGTAAAAAATCCCATAATATAGGCTTCAGTTGCGTAGAGTTTGCCTTCGGTGCGGTCCCCTGCCACTCATGGTGTCCAAGGTACATGGTGCGGCGGTGAAGGTACGGTGATGAAACATTGTATGCTTTAGTGCATTCAATTAGCAAGCTTAGACATCTTTCTTGGCTTCAGAGGTGACCATTTACCCCTTGTCCCACGGCTGCGAAGCGCTCGCGAAGCGTAGCGTTTGCTTTTCGGGAGATCAAAACCTAGCATTTCAGAGGCATTTCAGCTTGTAGCCATTGCTTCATGGAAGAATGAGATATGCCAACCCAAAAATCATCCTGGATGTTTCTAATGAGCTGAAAGATGAAGGATGAGAACGCTCATCAAAGGAAGATGAGCGTTGAGCTGCAGCGCCACCAGCGCTAGGCTGCCATGGGCCCGCCATCTGCGCCATCATGGGTGGAGAACAAGCATGGCGCCCAGTCGCCCAGCTGCTCGATCCCGTGCGCTCAGGCTGCCTGTCCCACTTGAAATTTCATGTCCAGTCGGAGTATGGTCTGCGGATTCTGTTTAGGCCCCTTCCTCTCCAATCTCAACAACCCGATCGGACGATTAACAAGCCAGGTTCGCCGATCGAACGGTCGCGCTATCACTTCAGCGAACTTCCCTGGCAAATCTAGATTCGGCGACCCACCTGTATGTCTCCCCTCTTCCGGAGGAAGAGGCAAGCCAATAGGGTCTACCTATACCATAGAGCGCCCAAAACCGGATCACGTACCATTAGTGGATCACCTCCGCACTAAACTGGACCTATCTTGATCCAGTCTCGTATTTCCAACTGTCCAAAACTGCATCAGCTCTTTTGTGCAGAAAACCGAGGTTTTTGACACCAAAGCATGACCTAAAGTTGGTCAAATCTGGATCCAAGAGCATCGGCAGATAGCCATTGAAAATCTCGATATGTGGAGAAAACCGCACTTTAAAATCATAAATTCGTCAAAAATAATTGCAAATAAGCGGTGCAAAAAATAAGGTGATCCAGTAATGGGCGCTCTACTACCTGCTTTTGATCAGCCCGGTGCCACGGTGTCGTACCCGCTGGGGCGCCCCGGCCTGGGGGCCCCGATGGGCCCGGAATGCACCGATCACCGTGCATGACGGTCAACTTCAACGTTTTTACTTGCCGGGCCGCGACGCCAGCACCGGGCAGTGCCCGGCACAATTTGGGAGTACCGTAACGACGGTAGACCCTAGAAGAGCACGAACTTCAAAATTGATCCGGACGCGGTCCCCGCGGTCGCGCGAACTGTCACTCTACGAAACTTTGTCGCACCGTAGACTGCCGACCTGCTGCCAACACTTGGCGAAATGCCGTCGGGTTCTCGCAAATTCCAGTCTGCATTTCAGACCTGTAAGGAGTGCCCTATTCCCCGGGCAGGCCAGGCAGACCATAGCATGACTGTTTTAGGCGACATGAGACTGCCCGGTCGACTAGGCAGGCGCAGCAGTCAACCGAGCACTCGTTGAGCCTGGGTCGACTAGGCAGGCGCAGCAGTCAACCGAGCACTCGTTGAGCCTGGGAGGGTCCCCGGCGGAAACTTGAACAGCCGGGCAGACTTATGTCGCCTAAAACAGTCATGCTATGGTCTGCCTGGCCTGCCCGGGGAATAGGGCACTCCTTACAGGTCTGAAATGCAGACTGGAATTTGCGAGAACCCGACGGAGTTTTGCCAAGTGTTGGCAGCAGGTCGGCAGTCTACGGTGCGACAAAGTTTCATAGAGTGAAAGTTCGCGCGACCGCGGGGACCGCGTCCGGATCAATTTTGAAGTTCGTGCTCTTCTAGAGTCTACCCGTAAGGACCTAGGTACCGTGCTCCGAGTCGGAGTCACCCCGTCAAACCTGGCCGCTTGACCCAACTTTCGACCTTCACGATTGCAGAGTCTGAGGCATCGGACGGCCCATTTCCTGTGCCAGGAGGTCGAGTTCTAAAACACCGTACCGTCACGACTTCAAGTTCAGGCGGCCAGCTAGGATGGATCATAGTCTGAGAGCTGAAGAGTCTGCTCGAGTCAACTGAAACGACGGACGTGAAGCCTGTGAAGGTCGTCGATCAATCTTGAGCGGCGAAAACACCGGGGTCGTCTGCTGCAGCGCGGCAGATCTCAATAACGCGAGGATAAGGTACCGTGACAGTGTAAGGACGCTTAGGAAAGCAAGCGCCTTGCCGCTGTTCCCTCCTCTGATCCTCTTTGAAGGTGGGTCAGCGAAGATCTATGTACTGCGGCAGTAGAAAATGACTGTGGAGACTGTCATGTCCCTTGTGCTGCTTTGATTGGTCGAAGCTGTACGTTTATGAAAGATAGGGTTTCTTCTTTGAATTCAGTTTGTTTCATTCTTGACCCGGGTGTTCAAATCTGCTGAAGCCTTTCTGCCTTCTCTCCAGGCCTATACAGATGGCGGAGGCAGAGGTGTCAGCTCTGGTCTGTGATAATGGATCTGGGATGGTCAAGGTGGGTGTCCTGGCGCGCGCTTCATTGACCACACAGATTGTTTGCATCTCTGCATAAAGCGGCCTAGTCTGCTCTGCTCATTGTTCATATCTCTTTATGGTACATGTTGAAGGTAGGAAGAGCAGAATAGATGGAAAGATCAACAAGCAGCATCTCTTTCTGTTCACGCTGGAGTTCTCGCATGATCAAGTTGTAATCCTACAATTTATGCTTGTTGGTGCAGGCTGGGTTTGCTGGCGATGACGCCCCTCGGGCGGTCTTTCCTAGCATAGTCGGCCGGCCTCGACACCAGGGGGTCATGGTTGGCATGGGACAGAAGGATGCATATGTTGGAGATGAGGCTCAGTCAAAGAGGGGTATCCTCACACTCAAGTATCCCATTGAACACGGAATTGTCACCAACTGGGACGACATGGAGAAGATCTGGCATCACACCTTCTATAACGAGCTGCGGGTGGCCCCGGAAGAGCACCCAGTCCTGCTAACCGAAGCGCCGCTCAATCCAAAGGCAAACAGAGAAAAGATGACTCAGATCATGTTCGAGACCTTCAACGTTCCTGCAATGTACGTGGCCATCCAGGCTGTACTTTCTCTGTATGCTTCTGGAAGAACCACAGGTGAGCATGCACTTTTCAGATCTGTCAGAAACTTTTTCCCACCTTTTTCCAAGTAAGATTTGTACGTCATTGAGCTGCATAATGTTCAGCAAATTGCTTTATTGCTTCCTGAGCAGCTGAAGTCAGACATCAAACTCATTGGCGCAGAAGGGTGCATGCTTTGTGAGCTCATCGGTTGCTTTATCCTCTCAAATGTTGTTGAAAAGTAGGGTCGTATGCTAAATTCTGCGCGCCAGTGGAGGATACATTTGTGGCGCAAGGGATTGCTAGAATCAGCTGGGTAGCCAAGGTTCTTCATTGGTTTATGAAATGCAATCTGGATGTCCGAAACTTGCTCCATTTGCAGCATCTGGAGCTTCAGCAGGCTCGAGGTCTTGTGGCATGATAAAATATAAGAGTTGATTAGGAGCAGCAGAATGTTGAAAGCTGAGGTTGTTACACCTTGCCTGCTTTTTGTGTACAGCATATGAAGCAGCTGTATGTCTTCCAGCTTGCAGCCTGCAACCTTGCCAGTCTGGGGTTCCGGTTGCTTGTGGCCTTGTTTACTCGAATTGGTCAACTGCCTTTCTCAAGTCCAATTGGCCGAAGGTTACAAGGATCTGTCTGTCGAAGGGGATATTGCGGTTAGAAGGGGGTATAAATTCTGAGGTTCACAAATGAAAGAAAAGTATGGCAAGTGATTTGTCAGCTGCTCACATACAATCTAGAGGAAGTCGGTTCACCCATCTAGGGGTTTATCCTGCAGTTGATGAGATAATCCTTGACACAATCTAGTGTGGGTATTTTGTGTTCACAATCTAGATGCGCAGTTCACAGGCACAATTGTGTTTTTTTCTTGGACAACGGAGTCAGAGAGCACCTTTCCAAGTGAATCAAGTGATCCGACTGGTTTGCCTTTGCAGGTATCGTGCTGGACTCTGGCGACGGAGTCACCCACACCGTTCCCATTTACGAAGGTTACGCTCTCCCCCACGCCATTCTGCGCCTCGACCTGGCCGGGCGTGACCTCACTGACTACTTGATGAAGATCCTCACGGAGCGGGGTTACTCCTTCACCACGTCAGCAGAGAGGGAAATTGTGCGCGACATCAAGGAAAAGCTTGCATATGTGGCCCTGGATTACGAGCAGGAGATGCAGACCTCCTCTTCCAGCTCGTCTGTGGAGAAGAACTACGAGCTTCCTGACGGCCAAGTCATCACCATCGGCTCTGAGCGGTTCAGGTGCCCAGAAGTGCTTTTCAATCCTGCGCTGATAGGCATGGAGTCTGCCGGCATTCACGAGACCACGTACAACTCAATCATGAAGTGCGACGTCGACATCAGGAAGGACTTGTACGGCAACATCGTGCTGTCGGGTGGCACCACCATGTTCCCTGGCATTGCGGACCGGATGAGCAAGGAGATTACGGCGCTGGCGCCCAGTACCATGAAGATCAAGGTGGTGGCACCGCCCGAGCGCAAGTACAGCGTCTGGATTGGTGGCTCGATCCTGGCCTCACTCAGCACTTTCCAACAGGTGAGCAGGTCTTGTGGTTTCCAGCTCTTGCATTTTCTTTGGCCGCTCATAAGTTTTGTCGAGTATAATCCAGAGGGACTTGAGACTTGCTCATTTGGAAGCTCGGGCTGGAGCAGAGACTGCTGAATCTCTTCTCAATAGGTTTTTGCACTCTATTTTTGAAGCGAAGCTGGCCAGTAAGTCTGATTCAAGATACAGAATATGCTCATCTGCTCATTGGAGTTGTGGCCTGGTTTGCATCAAGAAAGAACAGATTTTGAGTTTGGCGGCCAAACGCTAGTGTGTCGCGATTCAGACATGCGGAAATTGCTGACTGCTTGGAGGGCATGCTTGGTGTCTTCCTCACTCCACCTTCTGAATTTGCCCAGAGGAAGCACACAAGCTTGCGGTTTCGCAGGCCTGCACTGTTGGCCATACACAGTCTCCTTATCACAAGTCTCTATTGCTTGCAGATGTGGATTTCAAAGAGCGAGTATGATGAGGCTGGCCCCTCAATTGTCCATCGAAAATGCTTCTAGTTGAGAGTAGCACTCCTTTCTTGATTCCGTTTCGCAAGCTGCTGGATCTGAATTAGCCCATATTGCTAGCGGAGCAAACATTTTTGATGCTTGCTCTTTGGCATCATTGTACAAGTAGCACAAAGGAGAAGGATGTGTTCAACGGGCCTAGCTTGTCCTAAAGCTGTAGTCATAGACAAACGATGATATGCATTAGGCTGGTCAGAGAAGCGTGGGCATGTCTATCTGGCGAATCCTGACTTCATCGAAATAGTGCATGAGCAAGCTTGGGGTTTCTATCGAAATTTTACATCAAGGTCAGCTGATTGCATGTGATTTCTTACCTGAAAACATGTAAAAGTCATGGGAGGGGCAAGTGTGGATCACACACTAGTGCTCTCTTTCTTGGTTGTATAGCCAACTCGTTTGGGGCAGTTCCTCTTGACATATTAAGCAATCAGATGTTTTCAAGAAGGGCCTATTTGGGTTGAATTGTGGCTTTCCGGGTTCTCCAGCCCAAATAGGGAGCGTTCAACGTCATTTAATAGATCATTGTTGTTGTAGCAGCTCGAGGATGCCTCGAGGATCATATGTGGGGAATCGATTCGGCCTCTTCTGACGCTTGCAATTGATTGTACCTTATCATCCGACGTGAGCGAATGGTCCTATCTGTCAAACAGACAAACCGCGAGGGATCTTGATAGGTATAAATTCTCATTCTTGCTTAGGAAATGATAAGCGATTGCAGACCTCTTTGTGCGAGCGCATGATTTCGGCTCTTCATGTATCATGAATCGTCTTCCAGGCATACACCAATGTAAGCATGCAAGAAACACCTGATATGGCTCACATTTTTTTCTAAGGTGGTCTCGTCGCGCTTGCTTCTCCCAATAGTGGCGGCCTTATTCCGTTTTCTATGTGTCACGTGAGCATGGCAAAGTACCGCATACCGCCAGCGAAGAGGCATGCTCCAACACGTTGCAATCATATACAGGTGTTACCAAAGATGCGTGGCAGCAATGCCTGACGGTGCTCGATCTTGATCAAGCATCATCTTGATCAATCATGCATGCCAGATTTCGGCATGAACTGCTTGCATAGTTCAGAGTAAACGTCTCTGATGGGATATAGTTGAATATTGGTGTTGCAATCTTTCAAGCCTTCCCTTCTGCTCCCAGAGGACAACAAGCTAATCCACTACTCGTTACTGGGGCTAAACGGGCCACTTCCGCAAACGCAGCGGTGGGGCCAGGAGTCGATCAACATTACACCACACGTTAGCATATGTTTATGGCAAACCTTGAGCTTCATTCTGCCTCACTCCTTGACGGTTTATGAGAGGTTTCTGCCTCTCTCATGTATGTTGCCACTGCGTCATTTGGATCTTTCAACTCGCTGCGGTCCGGCTTGCTTCCTAGCGTGGGCCGGCTGGACTCCACACCCAAATACTTCATCAAGGCAGGCCCTTGGCCAGGAACGAAGTCCTCATCAGTTGCGACCTGCACCACAACCAAACGCCCATCAAGCAGTAACAGGTGCCGGTGTGAGTACGGCTCCTGTATAGCAAAACCTCGATAGCGAATATCTTTATGTATAGAAAAGCATCAAGTGCAAAACTCTTAAGAAAAGCCCTATGATTTCTTGGACAAGTAAGAGCTCCGCTGACATCAATCAAAAGCAAATCTTATATCAGTGGTTGTCAGGTGGCCACGTGTTCTCTCCAATGTCGGACACTTCTTATCCAGCACACTCCTTCCTGCAACTTGAAGCTTCTTCTTTGGATCCATGATTGAGGTCGGCTACCTGTGTTGTACATCCAAACTTACCTCTGCCCTGGCGGCGTCCAACTGCTTGTAGACATCGTTTGAGTTGTACCACTTCTTATGGTAAAAGTCTTCAGGAATGGTAGCCTTTGAGGGGATTTCCTGCATGAAGTGGACATGGTGAGAATTAAGATAGTCCTGCAACACACCAGTCACCAAGGACGTCGGTCAAGGATCAAGAGTACCTAGATTTGAAACTCCAGCATTGGTTAGGGCTTGGAACCTATCTCTAGAAATTTCTTCCTAGGACTTTAGGACTTGCAAGAAAGAGAGATACAATCTCATGGAGATGATTATAAAAATTTGAGAATGTGCATCGGCAGGTTCGCCTCCAGGTGCTGGCCATCTGGAGGGGCAAAAGAAGGTGCGTGAAGATCAGCGGGGATAAGGGACAAGAGCCACACCAGCAAGTGGGTAGCTCGGCACAATCACTTGGAAAGAAATTGTGGTTGGAGACCTGACTATCCTCACGCTTTCCATATCGATTAGACCAGAGAAGAGCAAGGTAGGTTGGCCAAGAGACGGGTGCCGAGAAATGTTCCACTAGTCCGCTTGTAACCAAGACCGCATTTTCAGTGAAGCAGCAGACCCGTACAATGACTTCACTGGTTGTCAGACCACTGAAAACCTGCAATATAGCTGGGATTCATCTGACCTCTTGATACAAACAACAAATCAACTGACTTCCAGGTTTGCTTCTCTATGATGGTGTCTCACCAGAAGAGCAAAAGCACTTAAAAATTCCAACCACAGCCTGCATCTCGGCAGTTCGCGGTCACCTCCAATGAATTCTGTGGCCCCACTGATCAGAGAAAAGATGGGCGCAAACTGCTGTCTCAAGCAGGGTCAATTGCTTGAGCTTGCTCAAACCAAAGGAAGCTCAAGTATCGCATGCCCTCTATCTGAAACCGGATTTATGCAGCACGGGCAACCTCGCGACAGCGTGTGCCCCCTTACCTCCTCGCCCCTGTTGAGTGTCTGCAGCCTCTGCTGTTCCTGGTCGTGGTCGTCCTGGTACTCCACTGCCTCGAGCTCATCCTCCGGCTCGCTCCGGCTCGGCTTCCTGCGGTGCATTGCGGCACCACCCAGCGGCCCCGCATCAATGTGGGCCATGCCGGCAGAGGCCACGCTGTCAGCCCCCGGGTCACTGCGTGAGGGTTTGGGAAGAGGTGCGGTCATCGTTACGTTGTAAAGCGACCACCCAAAACCCTTGCAGAATGGAAGCAATGCAGCAGGTCGTCCCGGTGGAAACGTGTCCCCTAATGTCGGTGGCGCTTGCTTCCTCGGTCAGCCTCAGGATGCAGAATCCGACACGACAGGATGGTTCTGTCCAGCTCACGCTGCGCGGCGGCCCCCAGGCCCAGGCTACAGGTGGGTCGCCGAATCTGGAATTTGACAGTTCTGATAGCGCATTGGCTCCGGTGTTTTAGGGGCTTGGCAGTCGCGATAAATACATCGGACGGTCGTTATACAGACCCTCTGTTTTAGGTGACGCCAGGCTGACGACAGCACAACAATGGCTGCCGAGCTCATCCAGCTTCCTTGTTGGACCCAGGCTGGTGTTTGCGGCGGCATTGTCCATGGTGTCCAAGTTACATGGTACTGGAACATTGGATGCTTTAGTGCATCCATTTTCCAAGCTAAAGATATCCTTTTTGGCTTCAGAGATGCTTGTTTACCCCTTGTGCCACACCTGAAAAGCGTATCGTTTGCGTTTCGGAGGATTGAGATCTCACATTTCAGCTCGCAGCAAGCTTCATACAGAGATGAGATGTGTAATAAAAACCATCCTGCTTTTCTGCAATCAGCTGAAAGATCAAGGATGCAAGTGCTCAAGCAAGAAACATAAGCGGTGAGCTGGAGCGCTAGGGTGCCATGGTGTCATGGTGGAAAGCAACCATGGCGCCCAGCTCAAGCTCTCTCAAGCTGCTCGATCCCCTGCGCTGAGGCTGCTGTCCCGCTTGGGAATTCTTATTCAGTCGGAGCATGGTTTACGGACGCTGTTTAGGCCCCTTCCCTTTCAATTGTGACAACCTGATCGGGCGAACGGCAGGCCACGCTTGCCGATCGGACGGTTCCGCCATCATTTCAGCGACCTCCCCAGGCAAATCTAGATTCGGCGACCCACCTGCTAGGGTCACAGGCTTCAGCTTGAAAGCTGGACATGTCCAGGGACCAGACTCGCGGACTCGGAGCCAATATCGGTGCTGACACTGATGTCAACAGATAAGAGTGGCATTCCAGGTGCAAACCTTGTCCATTATCAACCGCCGAGGATGTCAGAACGAGCCAGTCGCCCTCATCGGACCGTCGAATGGCACCAGCATAAATATCCTACACATCCCTGACGCCCCCCCTTATACTGCGGTAGTAAACCAGGTATACGGACGTACACTTCAGCTGGACGCCGGCGTGCCGCTGCGACTGTCCACCAACAATGGCAAGTTCGTAGGCCTAGATGTACAAGTACCTACCGTAGACCGCCCATTACTGGATCACCTTATTTTCTGTACCGCTTAGTTGCAATATCTCCTAACGAATTTACGATTTTAAAGTGCGGTTTTCTCCACATATCCAGGTTTTTCAAGGGCTATCTGCCGATGCACTTGGACCCAAATTTGACCAACTTTTGGTCATGCTCTGGGGTCAAAACCTCGTTTTTCCGCCCAAAAGAGCTGATCCAGTTTTGGACAGTTGAATATATGAGACTGGATCAAGATAGGTCCAGTTTAGGGCGGAGGTGATCCACTTAAATGGTACGTGATCCGGTTTTGGGCGGTCTACGGTACCCAGTTGTTACTTGCAGGCAGGCAAGCAGGTGCCAGGGAGCTAGCTGTTGACGCGGCCTTTTTTCGCTGGGCAAGTTTTGATGGTGGGCTTTCCTCTCCCCTTGTGTTTTGGCCCGCCTGCTTGAGGGCCATCATGTTTCTCGATGTGCCCGCTCGCCAGGTGGCTGGGGCCTCCTTTTATGGCCAGGCCCGAGCAGGCGACCTGGGGAGCAGCCCGCCGTTCCTCGGCTTCAACAACACGCACCACAAGGCGGCGCTGGACTTTGTCTTGGAGCTGGCAGGGCCGCGCTGTTTGACACCGGTGGCCACCAAAGTGCTCAACTCCGACCCCTTTGTGAACCTTGACGAGCTGCCCCTGGGCGCATTTGCTGTGGACCGCGAGCTGGCGCTGACCTTGTGGAACAGGAAGCTGGGGGACCTGACCGGCTGGACCGAGGCCGATGTTTGCCGCCTGGCTGCCCCTTTCCCGGGGGTGCTGCTGGAGCCGGCGGCCAGCACGCAGGCGCCAAGGTGAGAGGCGCGAGGCGGCAAGAGCCAAACCAGCAGGGCACAGGCAGGACAAACGTCGCTGCTTGCCTGCCACGCTGCCACCGTGGACAAGAAAGGGGCAGAGGAGAGAAATGAACCATGTGGCCAAGGGCAGGTTGCCGGCATGGCATCGCTTGTGTGGGGCACAGTCCCGGCCAGCGGTCAGGCGTGAAGCTGCAGCCTCTGCCGCCTGCCCCTCGAGGGCATCATTGGCATGTTGGGTTGCCTGGCGTACTTGTCCTCCCACCGGGAATTGCCAGTGGTTGCGGCGCACCGTGTGCCAGCCCCGTCGCACTGCTGCTGCTGTGTCCCCCTAGTGCAGCCAATACACATGGAGCACCTTCTCCTCCTACTCACTTATAGCCACTCGTACGGCTGGTGTCACCTCAGTGCTGCCCAAGAGCACAGCCTCATCTAGCGCGATCCTTTTTGTGTTGCCCAGTGTGGGCTCCATATCTTGCATTCCTCCCCCACTGTGCCACTGGCCGCTCACCTGGTGTGGCGTCCTGTGCGCAGGACCTGCGCAGAGCTGCTGCGGGGCGCTATCAACGGGAAGGACACGAGCGGGGCCGAGTTCCACCTGGCGCTCCGAGGTCGCCGCCGCCAGAAGGTGCTCCTGAGTGCCAGCTTGCGCACGGACGTGGCGGGTGCGGTGAGAGGATGCGCATCTCTGCTCAGTGCCAGGGGGAGACTTTGCTTCTTCGGGGTCCACCTATCTGTCCTGCTGGCTCAAGTACCCCACCCTTGGGCCAGAGGAAGTCGCGAACGGAGTGACTGGTGCCTCTGTTGACGGGGACCTGGAGGTAAACCAGTTTGGGGGCAGATTCGCTCATCGTGTCGGAGATGTCCTGCATGATTCCAGTGGACGGTGTCCTCCTCCTTTTGCTGTGAGTACAATGAGTCTTATTATGTAAACCTCCCGGTGTTCAGGTCAGTGGGGCCCTTTGCGTTGTCTGCCCCATTGGGCCGCCTGTTGCCGTGCGTGATGCGCCCCCCTTGCCTGGCCTGGAGGACGACCTCGACGCGCCCGCTGCCCCCCCGCGGCCGCTGGCTGCGGTGCACCCTGCCAGCGTGGGCGGCGCGAGCTCCCTCACGCTGGACAGCGCCACCGAGTGCGGCACCCCGACTGTGAAGCGGTGGGAGGGCGACGCATGCTTTGCGCTGGAGCGCACGCAGAGCAGCCCCGTGAGCCTCATCAGCTCGCGCGCCTCGTTTGGCAGCCTGGACGGCGCGTCCAGCCTGGACCTGGAGGACGGCCGCGAGGGCCGGCTGCGCGCACTCGTGGTGGACGAGGTGGCCGCGCACCGCGAGGTGCTCACAGCACTGCTCGAGCGGTGAGGGGCCGCGCGCGCGGGGGAGCAGAGGCATGCAGACTTTCAGGGAGGAAGAAGTCGGAGCAACGAGAAGCAAGTAGTTGGCACGGATGCTTTCGAGTCGGGCTCCAATCCTGGCCTTGTACTGGCGGAGCCGCTGTTCCGTATGCTGCACCATGGCTGCTTCATAAGTTGCGGGCACATGCCAGACTCGTGATTGCCTCTCTGTGCGGGAAGGCACACGCAGCGTTGTTGCTGCCGGGTCTCACGAAGTCCCCAGACCACATACAATGTGATGGCCACTGCCGGAGCTCCTTCGTCGTTTGTCAATGGTTTTTATGAACCAGCTTCCTTCACCCTTTATCGCGACAACCGCTTGTCAAGCTTTTCATAAAGAGAGGAAGAGTTTGGCTGGGTTCTGGAGTCCCGCTTGTTCAGATTTTTATGTCTCGTTTTGTGCCGAGCGTAAGAATCTGACGCGGCCAAGTAATCTGTCGTGTGGAGCAAAGCAGTGTCGTCTTACAAGTTTCACAAAGCAGCCGGCTGTTTGCTTTCAGGACTGTTGCGTGAATGAGGAGTGGTAGGAAGAATGCAAACGGCTGGTGCCTAGGCTTGGGCTCGATATTCTCCAATGGGAGAGGGCCAGCAACCAAAAGTATGCTTGGCAACTATCTCGTCCTTCAATACAACCGGTGTTCTCAATGTGCGTCCTCGCTCGTTGTAGGTGCGGGTTTGAGGTTGCCTGCGCCAGCAGTGCGAAGCAGGCGGCGTGGCGCTTTGAGGCGGCTCTCAGCGAGAAGCGTGGCTTCAGGGTGCTCTTCTATGAGCTCATGATGGCCGCAGAGGACAGGTGAGCGCGCCAGCCCGCGCGGCCTCGGGGCTGCCAACTGCATGCGGCAGCAGCAGCGCAGGGGCGCAGGCTAGCCCCATCAGGGGCAGCCCTCCGGAGCAAAGCAGGCCGGCCATTTACGAAGTGGCTGCTACACCCTTGCTCCTTGTCGACGATACTGCGTGCACAGCTGGGCTGCTACCTGACTTAAGGACAGCAATTTCCTCCAGTGGCAGAGTGTAGGTGCACACACCCTGTCTCCCTGCTTGCCGGTGCCTGCACGCCCGGGTGCCTCCCCGACCGCTCCCGCTCGTGGTGCAGGTACGAGAGTGTCCGGCAGCTCCGGCGTGCGGAGGAGGCGGCGGGGGAGGCGGGCGCGTGCGCGTTGATCGTGGGCGTGACGAGCATGAACCGGTGGGACCTGGCGGGCATGGACGCGTGCATGGAGCGGGGCCTGGCCGCGGGCATGGACGCCTTCATCGCGCGCGAGCTGCGCATGCAGCACCTGCGCGACACGCTGCGCAAGCTGGGCCTGCAGAGCAAGCTACTGGAGACGGGGGGGTCGCTGCCGCGCGCGCTCTCGGGCACGTTCCACAACCCGCTCAACCTGAGCCGATAAGTAGAGCTGCGGCGGAGAAAGGAGCGGAGCGTGATGGAGGAGCACGGGCGGCGTTGGGCCAGTCCGTAACATAACAAAGCTTCCCCGCGAAGAGTCAAGGCAATACCACGATATCAGCTACTTCCGTTGGGGGAAGCTTTAGCACAGGGATAGAAATAGTGCGCAGGATGTGGAGCCAGCTTCAGTGTCGCCCTTGATACCTGTTATTGATGAGGCGTAGACTGCATGCGTCAAAATCGATAGTGTTTGGATTGCACATAGGTTTTGCACCTGTACAGATAGATGTGCTCAGATTGGAAAGGCCCCGGAATACAGGGTCTGAGCATGCAAAAACCACTACACAGCCATAGAACTGTTACTTAGCGGTCGAGCTTGTGTTGTCTAGCCGGAGCCACTGCTTATATTCAGCAGATTGGAGTGATTGATGTTTCACTTTAAGACAGCATGGGTGGTTGTAATGTTCCATTAGTAAGTCTAGCATGTTCACGTTTTATGATTCACGGGGGTATCCTGACTGACATAACCCAAAGGTTAAAGCAGAACTGCTATGTACGTGCTGATTGTGAATGCAGGGTAACTCGAACAATGTAACTAACCGCACATAACTGGCTTAACTTGTTGTACGCCGCGGCCAGGCGTATTCATGCTGCAGTAACCGGAGCTTCAATTAAGACTAAACTTAAGAATTGAAGGCCACATGACTGGCCATGTAGTTAACGGTGTATGTATGTGCAAGCTTACTCCCACAAAGATGATGCATGACATTGCAGCGTACGTAGCGTGCATGCAAACAAGGATCCAGACCGCGGCATGGTGTGCATCATTGACCGCGACGTCTATATACCGAACAGGCTGTATATCAGAGTCAAATGGTCATAGGCCACGTGTAGGTGTCTATAAACTATCAGGCTGCAGGTAGTTTGTCACTGTCTGTGCAGACATTCGCCACCAATCATGTGACACTCACCGCCAACAAGCGAGACAGCGTCTGAAACGAGTCAACTACGAGTATGCTCATGAAGGAGCTGTTGACGGAAGTGCTAGCTAAGATAGTGACAAGACAACTACCTTCTCACAGAAAGGACTGCATAGCCCAATCATGTTTGACCATACTTTTCGGTGTGTGTCAAATTGTTGGACTTCGATATCGAACCTGGCTCAACGTGCCTGTTGAATAGACTCTCTTTCCTCCAGTTGTACATTGTCAAAACCTTTCCAAACTGCGTGTAGAATCGCAAGTCCATACGAAGCCGGTGCCCCCAGATATTTATTTGTAAAATCCACAGCAGAGATCGTTCGAAGAAACGCTTATCACTTGCATACCGCATACTGAAAAATCAACACGCGCTAACGAGATGAAAGAGCAAGGCACTACGACCTTCTTCTCCTTGACCGCTTTGACCGCGTCCCTGCCGGCACCCCGACCTTTGGAGCGCCGTTCTGACCACCATTGGAGTCTCCAGGAAGTGGCGCTGTGCTACTTGTGTCCGTAGATACCTCCGCAGCACCGTTGCCCCCCTCCGCATCCGCCTCGCTTTCTGTGCTCGCTTCGACCTGGAAATTGGATCACAAAAATGTGAGTTAGAAGGTGGCGCCACAAACTTTGACCATGCCACGGTAATCTATTTGACGAGCTCCGGCCTCGTTGCGCCCCCTCAGCTTCACGAGCACTTCCTGCAACACCCCGCTCGCCGCGTCCTCCCCTTGCTTCTCGTCGCTGTGTGTGCTCACCTGCGCCGCCTCCGCGGATCGTTTCTCGGCCTCCTCTTTGCGCGCGGCTGCCTCGGCGTCCTTCTTCTGCTGCGCGGCCTCAGCGACCCTTCGCCGATCCGCCCTTTTCGCATCCTCTTCCTCCTTCCGCCTCCGGAACAGCTCCCCGGCGGACGGCCGCTCTGTCACCTCCGTGTCGATCACTGCCCCGGGAGTGCGCGGGGGCGGGCTGAGGTCCTTGACGGTGGTGCGCCGCGCCTTGCCCGGGTCGATGAAGCCCTCGTCCTCGAGCGAGCTGAGGCCGGCCTTGGCGCCGCCGCCCTTCTTCAGGTACACCTGCTGCGCGGTGCTCAGCACGTTGTTGGTCAACCTGGCACGCAAACACGCATGCGTCAGCGGGGAGAGCCAGGAAAGCATAAAGTACGCTCCAGCGCTAGCCTGGACTTAGTCGGACCGCAGGACGTGCTGCGGCATCACTGCGGTGTTTCCCGCATGTCCTTGAAAGAAGTACGTGATGTGTCCTTCTCTGCCCCTTCCAATGAAAATGACAACGTGCTTGGGCAGAGGGGGCCTGTGTGCGGGGCAGGGGTGGCGCGCGCCACGCGAGGCTCACCAGTAGAGGCTGAGGCCGGAGGGGACGGAGAGCGAGAAGTAGCCAATCATGAGCGGCAGGAACTTGAGGATGGCCTGCGACTGCTTCTGCGCGGGGTCTTGAGACTGCGCCACCCAAAGCAAAGCACACGTCAGAACTGGCGCCCTGAGATGCCCGAAATCAAACCGTACCGAGCAAGTAGCCCTAGACAAGACGCTCAATGACGGGGTGACCTCGAGAGGGAACCAGCAAGGTGGCATGTATTTTTTCGACACGGGCCGCATACAATTGCGAAGGGACATCTGCAGACCAGGCTGGGGCAGACGAGCGAGCGGCTACACAGGGGCGGGCCTGCAGCTGCAGCAGCCGCAGCGCGGAGGGTTGCGGGGGGAGGTGTACCTCGGGGGGCGCCATGAGCTGCATGGAGACGAACTGCGAGATGACGAGCACCACGGGCAGCACCAAGTACGCCAGAGTGTCCTGCCACCCCAGCGGGGGCTGCCCGTCCTGCACACACGGACACCCAAAGCATGGCTGAGCGCGGCCAGGCAGGCGAGCACGGGAACAGGCGGGCAAGGCAGGCAGGGGGCCACGAAGAGAGGCTAGGCAGGCAGGGCCGGATCACGAAAGCGACCACAGGGCAAGAAGAAGCGAGGGCAGGTTCGTCTTCGAGCAGGGGAGGAGGGGCGTGGGGACGTACGATGAAGGGGAAGAGCCAGGATGTGCCGGAGCCGGTGCCGCGCTCCGCAATGGTGGTGGGGCCGGCCAGGGTCGGGATCCAGAAAAAGCCCTCCGTCAACAAGCCCTGCACGGCAGCCAAGGGAACGAAGTGAGGGGAGGGGGCACACTGCAACTGGCCACAACAAAACTTTCACGTAGCACAAGGTTGCGGGCCACTGGGAAATGCTGGCGGAGACAGGAGCCTGTCACCAGGCCAACTCGAGACGGGCAGAGGGACTCGGGGGTGACACCCAAGGAGGCCACAGGCGGCCGACTGCCTTCCTGCCCAAGTACAGAACATGGAGAGCAGCGGGGTCAATTGCAGCACACCGGGCCTGCGCAGCTGTGCAGGAAGGAAGGAGCGAGGCGGGCGGTGTGGGGCCTACCTCACTGGCGACATTAGACAGCGCCCGGTACAAGCCAATCCAGACAGGTAGCGTGGCCAGGGTGGGGAGGCAGCCTGGGGGACAGCGAAACAGGAGCGGTCAGTGGTAGGAAAGGGACCCGAAGCACCAAGGCATGAGTGCAGGCGCAAAGGATTGTTTTTCACAACAGCACGCAGCAAATTGCCGAGTTTTTTTGGTTTGCCCATGCAAGAATTTGGCTTGCATACCTGCTAGTGGATTGACCCCTGCGGTTTTGTACAGGCGTGACGTCTCCAGCTGGATGCGCTCCTGCACGGCATACTTGGCACGGGTCAGCGCTAGGGCAGCAGGGGGCGCGAGGAGGAGGGACGAGTGTATCAGGGATGGGCAACACCGGCAACACAGAACACTTCTGCCCGAGCGGAAAATCTTTCCAAATAATCAAGCCTTGCAGACCAGACCAGCTTGCTCCGCCAGGAGAGCGAGGTAAAGCTCTTCCAGAGTGCAGTCGGCAGTGCAGTCAGGGGGTCGCACCTGGTCGCCCTTGTAGCGCTCCTGGATGGCCTTCACCTTGGGCGCCAGCGCCTGCATGTTCAGAGTGGACTCCACCTGCACACCGCCACAGCGTCACCCCAGGGTACAGCAACAACACAAACAGGCCGGCTGCACCATCGGCCAGCATGCGCAGGAGCAGACTTTGATGCGGCGCTCCCGTCCTAGTCACAATTCCCTTTCCTGCCATGCCTCTCGGGCATATTCAGGGAGGGTGCCGGGCTGGGGGCCTGGCGTGCGTACCTGCTGCTTGGTGAGGGGGAAGGTGAGCGCCTTGACGAGCAGCGTGAGCAGGATGATGGCAAAGCCGTAGGCGTACGGCACGTGCAGCGTCTGCAGCCCCGCCTCCAGCAGCTGCACCCCACACCACAGCCACACACTCAGTGTACCACCGCAGGCTGCAACCCATGCGTTATTCACAGCAGCCCTCAGCGTTCTCCTCGACCACTCCCGCCATCGATGATTTGTGAAGTTCGTGCAATTCCTTACCAAAGCTTTGGAGACGGGCCTTGTCTAACCCCTGTCTGCACTCCACAGTCTCTGGCTGCAAGAGTCTTGCGCTGATACGCTCACCAAACTTCTGGGCACACATTTGATGATAGGGTTTCCACAGGAGATTCCTTCCATTCCATATCGATGACAATTGGCAGAGGCAACTTCAAATTGGAGGTGCGATTCAGGATACCATTCTGCGCCCCTTGCTGGTGAGGATTGTTGACCCGCCAGCGCGACAAACAGGCTGGCGTGCGTACCCCAACCTCTCCCAAAATGAAACAAGGCCAGGAGGCAGCCTTGATTGAAGTGTCGCAGTTGTGCACCAGAGAAGTGCTTGACACATCAAGGAAGAGCTAAAGCTGCAACCACTTCAGGAGAAAAGAGCTGCACCTAGCCAAAATTGCCCTGTGTGCCAGCATGTGCTTCGGTCGAAACTTGCGGTCCTGGAAAGCCTGAGAGATAGCATGTTGCTGGACAACAGGAACAGGAGCAATGAAGAAGGGATGGTAACCATGTCTTAATTGGACCCCTCTGCCTGTAAGTAAAATACAACCCTCTGAAAATTCAACCGAGTCTGTTGCCCCAAAAAGCAATGCTGAGAGCCAATGCACGGATTTCCAAGACAAGATTCACCCGGGTTTGACTAGAGAGGGGCGGTACTCACATTCAGGGTGCTCTCCATAACGCCGGTCAGGATGTTGAGCGGGCCTCCATTATCATTTTTAACTGCGTCGCCTGCCGCCTGGACGGCATCCGTAACGGCAGGGTCCGCAGCCAGGGTGTAGACAAGGTCGTGAGCACGGGTCGCAAGTGCCTCTGTCACCGAGTGTGCGGTGGAGATGGCGCCAGGGACGTCCAAGCTCTCCAAGCCCGCCCTGACGACCCCCGCTTGGCACAGCCTACCTGCCGCCTGCTTCCTGGGCAGCCTCGGACCAACCAAAGGGTGCCGCAGAATGCCAGGATACAGAGGGCGAGCACTGAATGCACGCTCGCTCAAGGAAGACGAGCATTGCCCTGGCCCTGTTAGTGACGCCCTTGCCACCAGTGAGTGCACCGCAAGCGGTCCCGCAATGGCCGCCGCCATCATTCCTGCGTACCGCAACTTGGCAGCAACTCAGGCTGTGGTGCACAGGTCGCCTCAACACCGCCCTGCTCGAGATGCTGTTTGAACAACTAAAACTGACAGAATCCTGCTGCTGAAGCCAGTGGCAGTACCGGTAGACTCTGGAGCTGCTATAACTACTCTGACCATAGTCCTACTCCCTCGCCGCCTCCTAGTCGCAGAGTGTGGGTATGCAATGTCATTGTATTAGGAAGTGTGTTCCGTCACCGTAGAACGTAAATCACTTTTGATCGGACGGCTCTTGCACGATGCTTCTGTTGTCCAGGTACGGCACCCTAGGGACATGGCCGCTTGCTGGCCGTACGATGGAGGACCAGAAGCACAAACGGCCGTGGCAGCACAGGATGACTTCCTCTGTACAGGATGTGAATCTGATGTCAGACTCAGTGATGAAATACCTAGGTAGCGATATCTAGCTGAACATTGTAATGGGCTGCCAGCTCAGTCGAGAGCCAATTCGAAGCATTGGCTTTGACATTGGCTTCGCTTGTCTGACAGGTAGCCTCTAGTCCTAATAGCACGGGCGCCTTTCACAGTTTCGTATCCTTCACAGGCTTCAGCAATTCCTGGAGCAGTCTGGCCTCTTTGATATGCGCTATTTAGCCTGACAGCAGTTGTTGTAGAATTCTGCACGTTTTTCTTGAGTGTATCTCGCCGTAGATGATCCTCAAGCTCTTAGCAGCTCCCGCCGCCAGCTATGGTCCATTCAACGAAACAATGAAGCCCAAGCTGTTGGCGTCTTATTGCAGATTTCTCAGTTAGGGTTAGGGTTTGAAATGGCTCGAACCATTTCACGACGAGCTGCCATGTGCTGAGCAAGGAGGATGGAGTTCGACGTCCTCGCAAAGAGGCGGGCTCACAACGGCCTGGTGGCGGTGTCATCTGTGCCCAGCAGGCCGCATAGATCCGAGGCCATTCAGTTCGAGGTAAGGCACACTTTGTGCAAACCGCATTCGGTCCAGCGCCAGCTCCTCATCACAGCCCCGAGCTCAGGGCGTCCAGCCTCGAATTGAGAGTGACTCACACGAGCTCCACTGGACGCTCCAGCTCTTTGAACAGGAACCAAGGAGAACAGCTCACAAGTAAAGTGGCGGGCGTCAAGGGCCCCAGAAAATGCCAGTACCACACGCGATACCTGACCTAGTGCCTTCCTGATAGCACTGCTGATGCTGCTGCTTTTGTTGTTGAAGCTCAGCCCTCGATGAACCACATGGGTGTGCAGGTGCAGCTGAACGACGCCCTGGGCGTGGCCGGCGCCGTGAGCGCTGCCCCCGATGGCACCGCTGCCCCTGCCCCCAGCAGCAAGCGGCTGGCGTGCCACGTGGCGGTGCTGCGCAGCATCCTGGCGTCAGGGGCGCTGGGCCCGTTGCAGCGCGTCATGGAAAGGATCACCAGCGAGCTCCTCAGGGGCGCCTACAGGTGCGCCAGCTCAGCAGCGCCAGCTGCAACATGAATGATAACCAAGTGCCACTCAAAGCATCCTCAGGGCACTCTCTTGTCGTGCCCTTTCCCCTCTCTCAGGTCTTAAGTACTAGCCGTTCACTTGTGTAGCAAGCATGTTTGAGCCCCATGTCGTTGCCCTGCAGTGATGCATTGACGGTGTCGCCCCTGGGGGAGGGGTCTGGGACATATGCCGGGATGGAGGGCATCCCGTTCTTTGAGCAGCTGCAAGATTCGCAAGAGGCAAGTCGGCTGCACACACAATGTCATTGCAACAAGTATTACGTCTATGCTCATCATCAGAAGGCCATTGCCTTGTGTCTCAACGAAGTCTTTGCATTTTTGTTGTAAGTTTCTGGATATTCATTAATATTCATCGGCTAAGAAACTCAAACCGTTTTTCATCCTGATCTTGCAATGGACCACCACTTGACCTGACTTTGCCCCATCCCTGCATTCAATCTCTATGTGAAATCCAGTGGTCAGCTGTTTCCATAACCAATCAGTCCTTCCCCCACCCTCTCCACCTTGCCCAACATTCCTGTCTTCCTCTTCCCCCCTGGCCAGGCTGTTGCCCACTTGAGTGCCCAGCTGGAGGAGCAACGGCACACGGTGGCGCAGTCGCTGGCGTACCTCAAGGAGCGCACCGCGCAGGAGGCCCCCTCGCGCGACGAGGCCGAGATGGCCGCCAGGATAGCCACGCTGGAGGGGGAGCTGTACGGCCTGCGGCACGAGCGGGACGAGGCGCAGCGCAAGGTCGAGACGGCGGAGGTGAGGAGAGGTACCACGAAGATGTGTGGGAGTGGTTTCGGTTGGCAGTAGTCGATTTATGAGCTTTCAGAACCTTGGCAGGAAGAAGGTCAACACCAAGGAGCAGCATGTCCAACTTTGTAGCTTTCCTTTACACCTTTGCCTAATTTTAAGGGCCGTTTCAGGTCGAGCTCGACTTCTGCGGAATAGTCTATGAAAGTTTGCTTTGACGAGAGTCGTCCAGCTTTGGCACTTGTGCCCCTGATCTTGTGTTGAGTCCCTGGAAGCATCCGTCGTTGTCAACAGACCTGCCCACCCGTTGCCTGTTTGTCAAGCAAGCCCGGAGGCCACTGCCGTCCTCCAGTTGCTCACCAGTTGCAGTTTAGAAACTTCCCAGCGAAATACATGCAGGAGGTCTTGATGTCCTGGAGCGGCCAGCTGCTTGACCTACTCTGCCTGTCCACCAGTGCGTGCACATTGTTTAGCAGTCGAGGTGGTTGGGCAGCAGCCGCATGATGCTCCGGCGAACTAGGCTACGTCAGATCATGTGGCGCTCTTTGCGTGCAATGGGAAGGCCCCGCCGGTTTGGTCACGTGGCATGCCATGAACTTTGAAAAGTTTTGTTGACAGAGGGAGAAGATGGAGGCGCTTCGCGCAATGGAGGCGGAGGTGCGGCGGTGGCAGCAGGACGCGCACGACGCCAAGCGGGAGACGCGGCTGCTCAAGAAGAAGGCCAAGGAACAGGTGACGGCCGGGGGCCCGAGGTCCGTTGCATCGAGAGGCCGCTTGCGAAAATTGGATGGATGCGGAATCAGGTGATCGGAGGCACTCAAGTATGCTCGACAGATAATCTGGACAGGCAGTAAGGAACGTCTGCACCTACGCGCAACTGGCTTCATTTCAGCTTCCTAGAACTACACACTTGCAGCCCACCTCGAATAGACTCCGTGGATGCAGTGCGTGAGACTGTGCCGGTTGCGCCTGTGTGCAGGAGGCAGTGCGGCTCGCGTTTGCGGAGCTGCGGCAGCCGGCGCTGGCGGGGCAGGGGGCGGGCGCGCTGGGGGCGGCGGGCAGTCCCGTGGCGGCGCTGGCGCGACAGCTCAAGGAGGAGAGCGACGCCGCGGAGGCGGTGGCTATGGAGAGCCAGCTCATCCTGCTGCACAACGCGCGTATCACAGAGTGAGCGCCGCAGAAAGTCTCGGCACCTGCTCGCCGCGGGCTCCCGCCTAGGGCTCCCCACGGCAATATTGGGGTTCAGAAATAAAGCATCATGCAGAGGCGACATCAACGAAGACCGACGGGAATCATCCCTCTTCGATCTTGAGACCTCGATTTGTCCGAGTCGGTAGGGTCTGGGAATGACGATCGGGGAAGCCGGCGTCTCCTCTAGATCACCGACCATTCTCACTGACTTTACAGCCAAGCTTGTCTTCATTGATAAGTGGTTCGCAGCACCGGGGTTGCCTGGTGATGCAGGCCGGGCCGCTCATCCGTCGTGCTGATGGGCACGAAGAAACATTGGTGCTACCAGAAAGTCGGCACGCACGTCTTCGCTGACGGCCGGGAGTCTGTGTGCAGGTACGAGGCGGCCCTGGAGAGCAGCCCCCCCAGCGAGGTGGCCCGCGTGAAGGCCGACTTCGTGCAGGAGGTGCAGGCCATGCAGGACGAAATGGTACGCGCGCCACACACCGCGTCCCGAGGCGCATTCCCGCCCCGCAGCCAGACCTGCAAGTTTGATTGGCCGACTCAGAGCGACTACGAGCAAAGCTTTAGGAGGTCCACGTCTGTTTTGCCTTTCTCTAGAGTTGTGAGTAGCTGCTTCACATGCTCTGGTCTAGGGCTTCCCAAGACGGCTCGACTTATCTTGCAAACAGGCTAATCGGCGGGCACCCACGCCCGTTCGTGACGTCACAGCCCTCCGTTCCCTCTCCGTCACGTGACTCAGCGGGCTGTGTGGGTGTGTCTGCGCTGCAGGTGAAGCTGAGCGCCCACATCCGCAGCTTCGAGAGCCGCCTCTCCTCCTCGACGCCCGTGGAGCAGCCGAAAGCGGCGCCACCCGCAGCTGTTGCCCCGGCTGGACCAGACCCAGCCAAGCAGGTACAGCCTGCTTCTGCCGAATGGCCATTCTGTGGCAATGCCAGGAGGAGGCTTCGTGAGACGCCCCGCCTGTGTACCTGCTGTGACCTGGCCGCTCTGTTAACATATCACGTCTATTGAGGAACGTCGAATGAGCGGTCGAGTCACCGTCCAGAGATCCTGGCCCCTCTCGCGGTTTTTGTATCATGCTCTCCATCCTAGCAAGTCGGGTAGGCTCTATACCTCACGAAGGAAGACCCAAGTTGGGTTTCTTCAGAACGACCTTTCTCATATTCTTTTCTCATCATTTCTGCTGCTTTAAGTTGCTTCAAGCAGATCAGGTTGCGGGTCTTCCACCACTTGAAGCGCAGCACGTGATCAGAAGGAAGAGGACGGGCCAATCGCAGCCATGGGTTCTGCCTAAACCTTGCTTTCTCGGTTTTCGCTCTGGAAGAACGCGGTGTCAGATCACCGTTCGATGGTCCAGCTGGACGGCTCAAAATTTAAAATCAGAGTTGGAGGAGAGCCTTTCCAGCTTGGGACTCTGTTTAATAGCCTCTGGCCTGTTCGAAGAGCTCGCCACATTCTACCGTTCGAATCGACGACTCTGCTTTCGATGCTCTTTTCGCCTGCCCCCTCGGCCCTGACTCCGCCCCCTCCTGTCTCGGCCGTAGGTGGACTTGGAGGTGTCCTACGACGGCGGTGCCACCTTCGCCCTGCTGCGCGCGCCCGCGCCCCTCCGCCCACTCCCCGGCCGCACCCCCGAGATCCAGGCCGCCTTCTCCCTACCACGGGACGCCACCCACATCCGCGTGCGCTCTCCTCCCGCAGCCACCGGCGGCCCGGTCCCCGCCGCCGCGTCCCCCACTCCCCCGCCGTTGCACCAACATCGGGGGAGCCCCCAGAACGAGAACCGCCCCCCCGAGGAGCGCGGCCAGAAGGGCCCCAGTGCGCTTTCCCGCGCTGGCCCGGACGCCAACGGCGAGGCATCTGCCGGCCCGTCGGCGGACGACCCGTTGTGGGAGGGATACTTCGCGCGCGTGGCCAGCTGGGGGGCGGCCGCCGCAGCGCTGGCGCCCACGGCCGCGGTGCGGTCTCGGCTGCCGCGTACAACGAGGCGGAGGGACGTGGACCTGCAGGTGAGGGCCGCAGCCGCAGCAGCCGCGGAGCAGCGACACGGGCACTCGCGGCTCGAGTGACGCCGGGCCTCTACGAGTGCTACGGCCAAGGGGTTGATGGATCTGCTTCGTGCACTGCGCTCGTACGGAAGTTCAACAACTCTCTTCCGGCTGAGTCAAAAGATGTACGAGGAAAACCTCCCATTCCGTTTGGATCTGCTACAACCTTGCGGTGTTAGCTTCATGATCATGTCTCTTTACGTCGGCTGCCGCGTCCGATAAGTATCTTCTTAGACTCAAGACGAGTCACCTTGCTCCACTTAGCCCTCAGTATAAGTCTTCGCAGTCTTACGCCCCGTTTCCCTTTTCGCCTCGCGCAGTCGTTGCTGGCCACGATCGAGGCGGTATTTCGTGCCAAGCTCAAGTCCGAGGGCGCCCCCGACGCGGCCGGCGCGCCCGACCGCGACGGAGACGATGACGTGGCCGAGGCGCGCGGCGGGACGACCGTGACGGGGACGCGGACGTCGCTCCACGTGTTCCTGTACAAGTGGCTGGAGGACAAGTACGGCGTGCGGGCCACCGTGCTGCTGGTGAGCCGCCGCAGGGCCGGTCCCGGAGAGGAGTTGGCAGCCCAGCTGCCGAGGTCTTGTGTAGGACAAGGAGGCCGCACCGGTTTGTGGCGGCGGGCGGCCTTGTCGGCTGCTCGTCAGGTGTGCGGTCCGTTGGCAGGGCTGCGGCAGGTGGGGCGTCGCCCTCTCACTGGTCGATGAACTTCAAGGCCCGAAGGGTCGGTGGCTTGCTCTGGCGCTGACCTACTGTGCGGCGCGCTTGTGCGGCGCGCTTGCGCGTGCAGGTGGCGCACGGGCTGCTGAGTGCGGTGGAGCGGCACGCGGGGGGGAGCGCGGTGGTGCGCCTGTTCGGGCAGGTGCTGGCGGGCAAGGCGGACGACGCCACGTGGCGGTACACCATGCACTGGCGGCGGGTGGCGGCCGCGGCGGCGCTGGACAGCGGAGACGGCTTCCAGGACTGGCTCGCTGAGCTGTACCCGGGCATGAAGGACGACGAGGTCAGCGGCCGCTTCGAAGGGCATCGCTGCGTGCCAGAGTTACTCAAATGTGGAGCAAGGGGCAGGGGCAGACCCCAGCACTCCTAGTCGCTTCGGTGTCGCAAGGGGGACATGCCAAGCAGCGTCCCTCGAGCTTGGCGCTTCGCGATGCTCCCTGTTTCGAATGCGCTTGAGTGGACGAGAGGCGACTGAATCACAATCACGCAGTAACGCAGCCGTCTTCCCCGTCTTATGACTTTCCCGTCTGACGTGCTGTGCCTGGCCGTTGCAGCTGGCGGGGTTGGCGTCGGAGTACGCTGCGTACACGCCCCACCCGTCGCGCGCGGCCGCCATCGACTTCCTGACCGCGCGCCTCCTCGCCAAGAACGAGTCAGTGCTGCCCGCCAGAGGCCCTGTGTCGACCACAATTGGTTTGCTGACACGTTTTCTGCACAGCTTCGGGTTTCAAATGGACACTACGCGATGGCGATTGCGACGTATGGCACAGCCTTTTCCGTTTTCGTGCGTCAGTTCGCCCGCTCGTGTGGAGGGCGAGGGTTTTGCCGTCCAATCTGTACTGCCAGGCTCAATCCTCTCTCTGCCGCCTACTTGCCAAATGACGCGCCGCGTGTGCTGTCCTGCAGACCGCGCGTAAAGAAGTGGACCAAGATCCTGCGCTGGAAGGACACGGCGCACAAAAACGCCTTCCGGCGGCGCGACTTTCTCGTGAGTGCTTTTCGGCAGAGCCCATGCTTTTCTGCCGACATGGCTTTCACGACCCCAATCCCCTATTTCCTGGACGGCCTTCTGCGGCTTCCAGGCGCAGGGCGGTGATGTTCTTTCCCCCGTCCCGCTGTGTGGTGGTCGTGGCTGACGCTGGTGGTGCGGTGCAGGACATTGTGGGCAAGCTGTTCCCCATGCTGTCCACGGACGAGGCCGCGGCGCAGTACGACGCAGCGGCGCGCGTCACCGGCGCAGACAAGGTCGCGGTAAGCTCCAGGGCTGTCGCCCCTTTGACTCCGCTCGAGAGAGCGCAGAGCAAGAAGGAAATTTTTTGTATGCTTGCCCAGGACACGTACAATGTGTAAGCGGATTTACCAGCAACCCCGTCTTCGGCTACATTGTTCATTGCCAAGCTGTTTCGTGATGTGTAGGTTGACACGCTGGCGCTGATCACGAGCTGCTTGGACGCGTCTCTGGTCAGCACGAGCGAGGCTCCTCACAACAAGAGACACCCCAGCCTGGTCCCTGTCGCAGTCCCGTTCTTACCACCACCCTAAGCACGCCCGATCCGAACCAGAGCGAGTCGGGTCTCGTCCAGGCATGTCCTGGCAACCTGCGCTTTGAGTGGTTGTTGTCTCCTGGCTCAATGACAGTCTGCATAAAGTACAACAATCAGCATTTTCGATCACAAGAGAAGAAGGCACAATTGCAAAGTGATAAAATTGCTCCTACCGGCTGCGGTGTCAGTGGACATCACATGTTGGGCAAAGCCATGGCATTCTACTAAAGCAGAATAATGGAGAATATAGCTGGGTTCACTCGAGTGTGGCATGTTAAGCCAGATGCGGACATGAGCCTGCTCGGCTAATTTCCATGCTACGTCATGATTTGACTAGCTGGCGCAGCTAACCCATGCTAGAATGTGCAGGGCAGGGAAAGACATATCCACCAGCCATGCAGCATATAGTTGTACGGGTTGTATACATATTGTATACTTCAGTCACATGATGCTGGGAACTTAGGCATGCACTGTGTGCTCCAAGGCGCGGCCATCGATAATGTTAAACATTTACGCGTGTCGTCATATCCACATAAGTCTAGCTCGTGTTTTATGGATTCAAGTTGATTAGAAGTATCCGCTTGCACATGGCATACCTATATCTGCGCCGGCCGTCCTATGTACACCCGTCTGTCCGATCCTCACGCACGACATGTCAATGCGTCAATATGCAGCTAAAGGCACATGGCATGCACTGTAGTACAGTCACTATAACGGTGGATAGTGGACTATATATGGATATGCAGGTATGGTAGTCCATTGCGAGTCACAAATGGCCACTGGCACATGAACAACTAGCTATCATTGTGTAGGCAAAGAGTTTGACATCATAGTGAATTGGATGAGGGAGGGGATTCATGTGGTGCATGGGTCAAGCATGCAAGTACAAGCTTAGGGCCCAAAGTTTAAAGCTTCGAGTCAATTCTTGAAGAGATCCACATAGCCTGTTGCAACTGCAAACCCCAAAATGACAAGTGGAGGAACCAAAACCAGTGCACCAACCAGTGCAAAGAACGGCGAATCATTCCTTTTACCAACTTTTGCCATATATTCTCGTCGCTTTTGAATTCGAAGTTGAGCAGGAGTTTTTGTTTGCGGTCGTCTGGCTTCCTCATATGCACGGTCCAATTGTTGTTGGAGAGTTATCGAGGGGGTCGGCGCTGCTGCTGATTGCAAAAGGGCGGAGCACTTGAGAATACTTGAGGTGTTGATTATGGTAGATGTGACCGGCAGCGTGAAAACAGGGGACACATTGGCTGCCATGTGAGTCTGATCCTATACACTCAAAAGCACGAGGTCAAGGGCCAATAGTGGACGTGCCACTTCCTCAAAGACTTGATCCCAATCGAGCTTGGACATGTTATGTCTCTATGGAAAAGCAACGTGACAATTAAGTCATGAGCAAGTTTCCTCACCTGTTCCTTTCACTGCCCCTTTTTGAGAGAGCAACGGAGCTGTAACTTCCTCCACATTGCTGTCTTTGGCACTCCTTGCACCTGAGTGATGCACTTTGAAGATTGTTTGGAGAATTGATACCGATGTGTGCCGTAGTCTTGCGTTAGAAAAACTCAGAAACAAACAATAACTAAAATGGCCCACTTGGAACTCCTCCCAAGGCCGTGGACACGTGTTTGGGTTGGTATGATCAGACCGCATTGCAATCCACTTTGGTTAAGATGTTGCACAAAAGAGATTTGCAATGCTGCTTTAAGAAGCTGTAAGAGAGAAAGGAACAGAGGAGGACCAAATGCTGCAGCCTAACCAGCTGTCGCAATTCTCCCTTCCGTCAAAGTGAGCTTTTCAAAATTTGAAAATTGCAGATGAGCATTGCAGATCGCTGCTTCCAGCAGATAACCACTCCTACCTGCTGACTGTGCATCCACGCCTCTCCTGCTTTCTGCGCCCGCCCCTTCTTGCTTGGGTCGAAGCAGTTGTTCTAAACTTTGTAATGATGTGTCTGCATTACTGCTCCGGCTGTCGCTGCTCGCCGGCCCTGGCTCTCCGCCTGCTCGGCAGGCAGCAGAGCTGCGGCGAGCATAGTGCTGCTGATGGCGCCCATGACAATTTTCTGCATTCTTTCTTCTCCTGCATTCTTGCCAATCAGCATTTAGGCCCAAGACTGGACGACGGGTAGGGTCCTGCGCCCTGCACCATTCACCAACCCAGATGAGAGGTCTGCAGCTGTGAGAACAGGTGGCCATATCATACAGTAGCCGCCAGCAAAATTGCTAATTCCACTTGGTCCTGGATTTTGCTGCGTTACGGTTCTCTCAGCTCTGTGAATTGCAGATGGTATTCGCTGGCAGTGGTAGGACGTTATTATCCAGCAATCCCCTAATTTTCCATAAGAAATTAAACACTGGCCCACAACTCCGAACTCTCGTCGGTATATCCGGCGTGCCGTCCGGAAAGACGTTTGGGGTCCAAGCATGAATAGGTGCCGCACTCAAGGCTCATTCTTGTCAAGGCATCGATAACCGGCGCCGTCTTTACAGACAGTCGTTTAAAAAGTTGATTAATTGATTGATGTGTGTTTGCCTTTTGGGCTGTTATTAGGGCTTCGGTGACCCAAATATAAAAATTGATTGATGTATGCCGAAGGCCCCCTTTGCCTTAGGAAAGGAAGACGGCCATCTTTGGCATTGCTGGCATCAGATTCAATTGAAGCATTCATACATGTGTGCGCTGGCCAAGTCTGGAGAAAAGTCCTGCGGCGGAGGGAGGAAGTTTGCTGCCCATTCTGTTGCATCGCATCAGGCTCAGTGCTCCCGGCTACGACAGTGACTATGTCCTAGCAGCCTCATGCGTATGTGTACGGGTTTATGGAAAGAGAACATTGTGGTTGAATTGAATTGAGGTCTATGTGGCCTTGTTGTGTCCACAAGATCCTTGACCAGGAATATCGCAATAGTGCCAGAGCCTGAGTGGGGGCTAAACTTACGAGGCTCACTTTGTTTGGTTTATGTCTGTAGCTACTCACAGAGTGCACGATAGCTGGCGGAACAGGCTGCAATGGTGCAGCCTCCGCGCTGCTGCTGGCGGGGCACGCTGCCCATCCATTCTGTATCGGACAAGTGCTTGACCCTGCTGGACGCATATGCGGAACAGGTGGGCACATATTGGTGACATTGGCTAAGCTTCCATGCATCTGCTGTTCCTCTTCAGTGCATGCTTGGAAGGGTGTGGCCACCTGTGGCGTCTAGATCTCTGCGCTCTCGCAGTACACCTGCAGCTGTGCCCATCTTATACCAGATGCGGGCACACCCAGCAGTGATTGCCGTCTATCTTCTGGGTTGAATTTGTCTTCTGACCTGGCCCCGTTTGTGTTGCCCCAGGTGCTGGCGTATGGCAGCAACTTGCAGCTGGCCGTCCTGGCTGCACAGGCTGATCCTTCCTGCTGCCTAGCCAACACGCTGGCGGGCGCAGTTTGCCTTGCTGCAGAGAAGAAGTGCCCCCGTTTGCCTCCCCCGGACCCTCCTTCCAGCACCTTCCTCAAGCGAGCACAGGAACAGGTGAGAGAGTGGCCAATCCAGAGTGGTTGGGAAGTATGCCTTCTGGCAATGAGCTGTGTGCAAGTGATGGGGCCCGCGTCAGGTTGGTTTGGTCTTTCCAATTCGTGTAGGCTCCAGCTCAGCTGCCTGGTTTGCCTTGCGGCGGGTCCGATCCTCAAATTCAACAGCACACGTTGGTCGCCCCCTTTCTTCCTTGACATCTCTGTTGAGCCCTTCAAGTATTTTGAAGTCGTATACACCGTCCCAAGGGGCTTTTCTTATGCTCTATCCACTCTTATTGATAGAGAGTGCAGATCTCCCCCCCCTCGCCGGCCTGCTCCAACGTCGGGTGCTGTCTGTGCAGATGGCCGCCGGTCAGTGCACCCTGTATGAGCAGGCTCACCTGGAGTGCATCCTAGCATTGGCAGCGGGGGATGTGGCGCTCATACTGGAGAAGCATCTTTCCCTGCTGCAAGACTGGCCGCAAGATTTGGTGACGTTGAAGCGGGCACAGACACTTGCCTTCTATGTGGGGCAGCAGGACCTCATGCTGCGCCTGGCGCAAATGGTAGGGCCCTCTCCTCCCTATTGCTGCGCCCCGCCTAGTAATGCAGAAGCCTATAGGGGCAAGATGTTGATCGGAGTTACTGTAGCGTAGATTGCGAGCTCAGTTGTCGCTGATATTGTCCTTCAGCAGAGAGCACTCAAGTGTACCCAAGTACATGACTGTCAATCCTTCCAGAGGTCCAGCTAGCCTAGCGCCGTCCTTTACCAGAACGAGGATCCCCGCTCAAGTTTCTGTGGGGATTGCAGTAGGTGCTTTGCCTGTCTATCTTTCCTAACTTTGGCATGGTCCCCAGGTAGAGAAGGCGAATGCTCGTTCCCCGTTCTTCCACGGCTGCCTGGCGTTTGCCCTGCTGGAGGCAGGCCGCGTGACAGAGGCTGAAGCGGCAGCACGCGCAGGGCTGGCATTGCGAGAGGACGACCCATGGGCCCAGCATGCACTGTGCCACGTGTACCACCACCGCTGCCAGTTTGAGGAGGCGGTGCGCTTCATGCTGCAGAGAGTGCACCAGTGGCAACACTGCTGCCCCTTCATGTGAGTCAAGAAGGCACCATGGGGGCAACATGTCGACCCCCCCACCAAAGCAATTGTAGGGTTGTTCGCACACATTGACGAAGAGTCCATCTGAGCGCATGGAATGCGTGCTTTCTGTCTGCTCTTAGTGTGTCAGTTGATGCAACTTTTGGCTTTCCCGAGAGGACCTGTTTTAACAGGCCTGCCCTGCCCCTTGTATTACAGCTGCTGCTCTGACAAGCTCCCTTATGCCGAAGGGGCATTTACCCCCTGCCTGGTTCTGAAGCCGCCTCTTGCTCCTCGAACTAGTGAACGGAAAAGCCCTTTGAAGACGAACCTTTTGAGTTTAATCAGAGCACTAAACCAGAGGTTTATACGCTTCGCACCTGTATTGAAATCCCCATAATCCCCTCACCAAACCAGCCCCACTTACAGTCCACTGGGCTTAATGTCATTGAGTTGATTAGATGGCTACCTTGCCTGCGTAGGTACATCCACAACTGGTGGCACCTCGCCCTCTGCTACGTTGACATGGGCCGGCCCCAGGCTGCGCTGGCCGTGTTTGACCAGCACATCTGGAAGGACGAGTGGCGGGACCAGGGCTCCACCGAGGTGAGCGCACACGCCGGAGCCCCTACAGGCAGGAATGCCGCCATGCCAGGGCGCAGTGGTTGCTTGTTGCAATTTTCAGAAGTGTGAAACCATTCAAGCTGACTCGGCATGCTGGCCCCAGCTCGATTGGAGCAATGTTGACGGTGTCGTTCTTGGGAGTTGGTTGCAGGACTGTTCTAACGGGCTGGGGCTGCTGCTGCGGCTCGAGCTGCGCGGGCATGGCGCCGAGGTGCACGCCAGACTGCCCGCACTGACGGACCGTATCCAGAACGAGGTACAGGCACTCCACGCGTCCTCGATGTCTTTCGGAGACTCTTGACGTCCGGGTCTTCCTCCTTTCAAACAACTTGCGTTTCGAAGTCCCTTCTGATACTGAGCAGTGATGCAGTGTTATTTTTTCAAGCTCGTGAACAGCTCCGCCTATTCGTTTGTGTAAGTGTGTCCACCCATGCCAGCCAGTACGGGACGCAGCTCGCTGAGCTGGTCATGCACAGGGTCATTCCCGCACCCTGGTTTTCAAAAGCTGCTGCGTTCACAGGCGGCCAAGGGGCGCGCCAGCCACTGCTGGGCCCTGGCCCGGCCTCCGCCCGCAACCTCGAACGTTCAGATCCCACCCAGCAGTTGCCTGTGCCTGAGGCACTTATCCGATCCTGCCCCACGTGGTCTGCAGGGCCTGTGGCACGTGGAGCTGCTGCTGGACGTGCTGGCGTGCTGGGCACTGCCGCGCTGCGGGCGCGACGCAGGGGGCCGCCAGCTGCTTGCCAAGATGGCGGCGCTCGCAGAGAAGCAAAAAGGGCCGAGACGAGACGCCCTCCAGGTAGCTGTACCGCCCCTTCCTCGAGGAGACAACTCGCAGGGGTGCAGCATGCATGCTGCCGGCTCCCTCTTGTCTGTTAATGGCGGCGGACTTTGGCTGTGCAGCAAAACGGTCAGCAACTGTCAGAGCTGCGCAGGTCGGAGCGCTCTTCAGAGCTGCGGTTGTGTGCGAGACGGTTTCGAATGTCCGGATGGAGTGCTGCTCGAATGCGGTGATCGGTTGGCGCCACCTGCGGGGACACTGCTGCTGTTTTCAATCCTCTTCCAACCTGAGGGTGGCTGCTTGCTCCGTGTGCTCACTCTCCGCGTTGCCTGCGCAGGCCGGCTGGCTGCGGTTGGCCGAGGCTGTGTCTCGGTATGCGGCCGGAGACATGGACGAGGCGGCCGACGGCCTGCTGGCAACGGACTGGAAGAGCCTCAAGGTGAGGCCCCGCTGCAGCACCAGCCGGGATTCCCCTCGGGTTCGCCAAATTGAGTCCTCACAGCGGGAGTGAAGTACTCCCCAAAGCGCCTGGTCATGGATCCACCTTACTCACCTATTCGAGATCACCCTTGCTTCGTCCTTTTGTCACGGCCCGTATTGCCGTTCCTTATTCACTCTGGCGCGCATCGCCGAGGCGCGTTGTCACGTGTTGCGCAGGTGATCGGTGCGTCCGACGAGCAGTTGGACGTGTTCCAGGAGCTGCTGTGCTCCGTGTTGCTCGCTGCGGGTCGCTGCCACGCCGCGCTGCGCCTGCTGCAGGAGCGGGCCCGGGAACGGGACCGGGTGCCCTTCACGCACCACCTCCTGGTACGCACCCCCGCCGCCAACCTGCGGCCGTGTCGCAAGCAAGGAGCGCTGTTGACGTCAGCCTCGTTTGCTTCGACAGCAGCGTGCTTTGTTTCACGGTGTTGATTCGGGCAGCTTTGCGGCGGGCTCTCTGCTTGACAGACTAGCAGGCTTTCAAGAAGGGGAACTTGAGCGTCCCATTGGCCTCGGTGTTGATCGGAAACGCCAAGCGTCAATAGCACTCGGTTGCGTCAGCTGGACGGGTAAGTGAGTTGAAAACGAAGCCATGGACACAGGAGATTCATGAAGGCCGCGACTGCCCGTTCGGCCTCTGTTGTAGCACCAGCTCTCAGCAAACAGATCGCTCGAGGGCCTCTCATTCTCGCCCAGTCGCAGGCTAGACAGCGACTTGCGGACTGATTGCTGGCCTGTTTCTTTGGCAGGCACGGTGTAGGAGAATGTGCGGAGACGAGAAGGGCGCAAAGGAGGCGCATGCGAGGGCCAGCGAACTTGAAGCTGCTTACTCGGTCTAGAATACTGCCAGCTGCCACCAAAGCCCGTGGTTTCTTGAGCATGCGCCTGCTTTACCTTAAAAGATTTGGTTGCGTTTTAGATGTCGTCAATCAGCCTGTGTACTTTAGCCTAATTAATTGCCCGCTTCCTGTCACAAAGTAGGTCAAAACTCTCGAGAAACGCTTCTTTTTGCAGATCATTACTTGCGGAGCAGTTCATAAGAAGTTTGGAGTAAGCCGAAGATATCACTTGCCAGTTAGCAAATGCGTTCAGTCAGCCTTCAAAGCAAGCTACAGTAGACTCTGTGGCGGTCTGGTAGATGTCCTAGCGTAACTGGTGAGAATTACGGAAGTCACAGACACGGAGTGGACGTATCGGATTGTTTTGAGTTTAGACAAGTTGCAATGATTGAAATTGGCGCTGGACGATACGTCTGGTGGGACCTCTAACAACAATGGAATTACCCGATTGAGCAAAGACTATATGCCACTAGCACGTAATAGTAGTTAACATTCAGGCTGGGGTCGCGTGTTTTGTACGCGTGCTGCAGTTTTCTTAAAACATACATCATCATTCGTGGTTCGAGATCACTCAAACGGATTGCATGCGAAAGTCAATTACCCTTGCGCTCCCGGCCAGTCGCATGAACTCTTGCGCGTGCAATGGTCAGATTGCATGCATGCCGGTGCCCGCAACCCCCTTATGTTGAAAATGTTGATGAGTGTGTGATGTTCAAGGCTTACATGTCGGAGTCAAAAATCAGAGTGACCATACGTACTTCCAGAACAGTCTCAAGCTCACTGATGCACTCTGCATGCCATGCCACATCATCTCCCGATCAAAGTCGTTTATCTTATCTTGCACGGCTGTATGTACCACTACGCCAACTTACTTGACTGAAAGATGATCATGGGAGGATACGTATATGCAGCCGCACTTCATACTAGAGCACCGCCCGATCCTTGCACGATCCAAAAGTAAAACTGGTATACTTGCAAGAACGAAGTTGCGTGGCAACAACTTAGGATGTACCAGCCCATCGGTCAGACGTTGAAAGCTTGACTTGAAAACACACCCGTGTCCAATTATCGGTGTCCAGTAGAGACTAGCTGTACAGACGATTTTGTTTGCTAATCTCCCTTACATTGCCTCGACTCGTCCAAGACCACGGACATACTGTTACACTCGTTAACCAGTAGCGCAATTATACTAGCCCTAAATAAAGTGTCGCACCGTAACCTGCATTCCTGGAATATACATGCCTTTCAACACGTTTTCATAACCGTATATGTGTCCGAAAGAAAACTTCACTTACTTGACAAGACCCCTGAGCTTCTTGTATTCATGGCGTAAGAAAGTGTCAGGCCACCATCTCCATACCCTCGCGGTTCTGTTTTGAGAGATACATATTCCTTCCCATAGACTTAAGTAGTGGTCCTATTCCATAGCCGCGTCCCCAGAACGTCGCCAGCGTGAGCCCGGAGAGGGCCATAAAGACTACCGAGCATGCGGGGGGCACGGCGGCCGTTGTCCCAAAGAACTGCGTGGCCAATAGCATGGCCAGCGTGCTGCTCTGCATGCCCGTGCACAGGCTGATGGTGCGTGCCGCTCGCTCGTCCATCCTGCACCAAAGAAATGCAGCCGTGAGAGCAGCACACCTGGGGTGCACTTCTGTGCAGGAGCAGCTGCAAGTGGTCAGCCAAGGAGAGCGAATAGCCTGTGGTCAGAGTCGAGGCTGCCCCCTCCGCAGCCTGCTCGCTAGAGACACTAGTCTAGAAGAATGCAACTGCAACAGATGCTGAATAGCATAGACTCTACTGAAGAAGATGTACAGGCTCATTGCTGGCAGTCAGCTCATACTCTTGCGCTTCGAACCACAGCTAACTCCTAGCTACAACGAGCTCCCTTGACATTCCAGCTAGGAAAAGCTGTGACAGTCCCCACTACTCAGAGGCCTCTAGTCCAATGACACGCCACTCGCGACCATGCCTGCACGAGTACACCCCACCAGCCGTGACCACCGCAACCGAGCACCACACATACGCCCCTTGTCGTGACTCACTTCCAGAGAGGCAGCTTGGAGAACCAGTAGCCCGCAGCAAAGGCAGCGACGTGGAAGGCGATCACGGGCGCAAGGAGGCGCACGCCGGCAGGGTTGAGGAGCATGGCGCGGTTCATGGCGAGGGGGCTGCCGATGCACAGCGACGTGCACAGCATGCCCACGAGGGGCACGTATGGGCGCACTGCGTCCACCTGGCGGCGCGCATACGTGTTGAGGGCCAGGCCCAGGAACACCGGGCCGACCACGACCTGGGGGGTGAAGGGAGAACACGGGCGGGGTCACAAAAAGGAGAGGGAAATGGGGAAGGGCGCGGGGCTGGGCCGAAAATGAAGCAGAAAAAATAGTCTCAAATGTTGTGGTATTTTACTACTTGACAAGTTGGCTGGCATGTGAAGCAAGGGAGACGCAGTAATCAGGATACAGACGTGCTGTCTGGAAGAAGGTCCAGCACGCACCGCAGAGGCCACTTCAAGTGTTGCAGCTTTCAGATTACCAAACTATCAGATTACTGGAGTCCAGGGGATGTCACCTTTGGAAATAGTCTTGAAGGCCTATGATAACAAACTCTAAGCACGGCTGCCCTGACCTGAGGAGAGACAAGGCATCCTAGGAGGACTTGAGTCAGCATCTCCAAGCATTGCAAGGGCATCGTTCGGTAGGAACTCTAGCACCGTAACATCAGTTCCACACCCGTCTCACCTGCATAATGCTTTTTGCCATGCCCACCACGTCAATGGGCACTGCTGCCCCAATGAGGAGCTGCGTGAGCAACGGCGTGACAACCACCGACCTGCAAGAGTGCTCGCATCAGTCTGCAGGCTCAACTGGGACCGCTCGTTGCCTGCATTACGCGGACTAATAAATCTAAATACCCTCACAAAGACAGACACAATCCATTGGCTCAATTGCATCCAAAGCAGAGAAAACAGGGTTGCTATGTCTCGCAGCTCGCGCTTTGCTGCCAGGGTGGCATGCGTGGCTCACGTGATGGTGGTGACGCTAGTGAGGACAATGCTGAGTGCCACGTCTCCCCCGCTGAGGTATGCGGCATAGCTGGACAGCTGCGCGCCCGCCACGCAGGCCGTCAGCAGCAGGCCCGACGCAAACATGGGAGGAACCCCAAACGCCGTGACGGCCAAATAACCCAATGCGGGCTTCAACATATATTGGGCAAGGTAGCCAGCCTGCAAAGTGGGGGCTTTAGATTGAATGGCAAGTTGGGTTGGCAGGTAAACCTATAAAAAACTGCTATATGGAGAACTGGGTGTTGCTGCTCAAACATCAGGGAATACGCGTAATGGTCGTTAGCACCAGGAATTATCTCCCCAACTTTAAAGGTCACATGTTAAAAATAGAACCATACAACAGTTAGTCGAAGGACCCGGGGGTGGACCTGCAAGCTGGCAAAGTATTGAGCCTTCGCAGGCTTGGGCTCCCAGCCAAGCTGTTAAAAAACCAGCGGATGAAGCAGACATAACAACTTGACCTTCATTTCCAGACCACAACATGGAAATTAAATTTCGCGGAACCTAGTGCTCAGCCGAGCAGGTCCCAAAGACAGTGTGCAGATAGACGACTGGCCCTAATCTTCACAATGTGTTCTCAAACACTCAGCAATCAATGTATATGAGTGGATGTGCACTCGCAACTTTGGCCGAAGCACAAGCCTTAGCTCTACAAAACGACCAATCAAACCACAGCTCTCAGACTCACCAGCACCGGGGTTGGCTGTTTGAACACCAGTGCAAAGTCGGCCACCGAGAGCTGGACCCCTATGGACAGCATAATGCCCCCCAGCGCAGGAGCATAGTACTGCTTCTTGAACCAGCTGAAGGACGGCGGATGAGACAGCGCAGCCACCGCGGTGGCCAGCACAACGAGCGGCATTGCTCCTGAAATCATCTTTGCTAGGTCCACTTTCTGCGCTGCGCGCGGCGATTGCGAGCCCCTGCTGGGACCAAATGATGCAACCCCCACATTGCCTTCTCGATTGACAGTCCCTACACGCCCTCGACTCTGGCTCTGCCCTCTTGCATTGCCATTGGAAAACACGGCCCGTTTTGTCTGCTTGCGGTGCGGGAATGGCAGCAACCCGGTGGTATCTCCGCAAATACTAGCATTGCTGTCCACCCTACTATGACACGATTGCCGCTGGCTTTGGGAAGACGAAATGGAAGGGAGAGGAGGACTGGAAAAGGAGGGTGAACAGCCTGCAAGGAATGCAGCAACGTTGAGAACCATATGATTGAGGTGCAACAGGACCCTTCAAGCCTCTAAGTCACACCTCAAGCTTCAGAGACATGATCATTGCAACATGCAATTAGAGTTGGTCAGCAACAGCCAGAGCAAACATCAGTGCAGCTAGGCAGCAATATAAAACGGACTGCTTGCTTTGACACTTCGTGTTGCCCCACACCTGAGGGACAAGGCGGCTGTCGTAACACGGGTTGGCTGAGTGGAGCCTCCCCCCAGCATACGCCGCGCAGATTCCTACTATTGGATGAACACCGCCCCGATGTGCTGGCGGTGCCGGCCAGGCTCTCAGAGATGCGGACAGCCACAGACGAAGCCGCCTGCACGCTCATGGCGGCCATTGAGGCAACTTCCTTGCGCCCGTGTCGGGGTCAAGTGCAATACACACAGACCCTCCCGTTACTCACTCCTCTTATGCACGCCGCACAACCTCAGTACCTACCTCAGGAAAGTGGCACATCCAATGAAGTACAACAGGAGCGCAGATGTCCTTCCTGCGCCAGCTCTTCCTTTGCTAGCGCCCTAGCCAGGTGGGGTTGCCAATGCCTCATACGGTAAATTGGATGATCATTGAATTTGACGATCCTCCTGCGAGCAGAATCCAATTCGCCCGAGTTCCAAGAAGGTTGCTTGTCCACAAGTTTGATGCGAGTCGAATCGAATTGGTCGGATCTGAGATGTTGATTCAGCCCCGTCGACGAAGCGGACCGTATGCAATTTTAGGGTTCCTAATTTGTCCAGGATGGCGACAGGACGCGTGGCGGACGCAGAAGTCAACACCTAGGTGCTGACCGGGCATATTGAAATTTGAATGCGTTGACCCAGACAGTGACGTCATTGTCGGCCTCAAAAAAGCGCGAATACAGTGACGTCAGCATACTCAGGCAGAGTCAAGTGCAACTAGGATGGGTTCTTGAAGCAGCAAAAACAGCCACTGTAGGCTCCACCTCTGGTCCCTGAATCGTGACCGTGATCATTGCCGGCACTGGCCGCACAGGGCAAAGTTTCAATTGACACACACACACGAGCCCGGTATAAATGGGTCGGCAAAGCCAACAGTCCGAAAATATAAAGTCGAGCCCTCGATCTGGGCCTACCAAATGAAGTTCGGACTAAAATGAAGGGCCAAAATCGCCCTTGACCGATCGGACGGTGCACGCGCGGTAATGAATCTGCCGGATTTGGCCGGTGACGCTAAATATGGTTGCATGTACCGGAGAGGACGCCACGTCAGCACCCCCCGCGGCGGTGTTCGAGTGTGTTCGATCACCCGCGCGTCGAAACGGTCGGGACTTAAGGCTAACCGA